ACATATCTAATGGATGGGTCGATATTCAACTGGTGGCATGTTATGATAGGGTCATTGTCGGGAATTTTATCTAGCGAGATTGTGAAGAGGCCGACAATGTCTCTAAGGGATCTGATGAGGTTTCTCTTTACTAGATCCAGTAGGGTGGCTCCTATTTGGACTAACATGGTCGGGTTTTTGTCAAGCTGCACTATTTAGAATTCTTCATCTAGAATTTATCTCATGAATTAAGCGAACTATGAGTAAGTCGTCTGAAATTACGAGCGAATCGTGGAGATAGTTATAGTATTTCATTGTCAGATGTAAGTTGGAAGCTACTACACCCAATTTCATGAAGAAATGTCTCACTAGGATGCAATTGTAAACGTATTCACATGGGATCACCAAGAAGCACACGCTTGTTGCCTTTCTGTCTTTTCCTCCTCCAAATGAAACTGGTAGTTTTATAGTGCCACAATGGTAAGTTATGAAATCATTGAACATTTAAAGGTTCATGCCTTCGTAGAGTGAAAATCTCATGATAATATCGTTTGGCAACCTCTTGATCATCTTCTATCATGTCAACCTCCCTATTGTTAGGGGATACTTCAACATTAAATACATGGTGACACTACTTCCCCCTAGTGCATTGAATTTTTAATGGAAGATGATAATTTTGTAGGATGAAAATGGGGCTTCCATTACTAGATAAAGTATTATCATTGTCTTTTAACTTCTTATAGTCCCAGTAGGGGTATTGAGGCTGATATTGCATATCATGATAACCTGATCGCTTAAGAATCCTAATAGGCTTCCTAAGTAGGGTTGGAGATGCTTTTTGAAAAGCTACAAAGTCACAAAATCTTCCTAGTACAAAATCTCAATTGAAACTCTCGAGTTAATCAGGACTTTCTTCATGTCCCCTTTAAAATTTGAACCTCAATCAACATTGGGTTGTCTTCATGAGGGATAATTCTCGATAATTTTCCAAAGTGTGATCTATAAAGTGCTTCTAGATATGTTTCATCTGCCTCATATATCTTCTATTGGAAGAACATGTCTCTTCCATATAATACGTTGACAATGATTTTGAGATTGTGTCTAGCCAGAGGTCCTCCTTTTTATCGTGTTGGTCTTTGTATTATTTTTTAGGGTATTGAGAGGATCTCAAGTTGGTAGGCATGTATATGTATTTTTATGAGCTCATATCGCACTAAGTATACTCTATGTATTTCTTCAAATACCCTTTTTTTATTAGCTTTTCAATCTCTCTTTATATGAAAACAATTCTCAGTATCGTGCCCATTTGCATGATAGTAAGAACAATATTGACTTTCATTAGGGTCAAATTATCCTTTTGGTTTAGGTGGCTCATCCAACAACCTAGTACACATGATCTTCTTTAAAAATTGGATCCTTCTGACATTCAATTGAGTTGTTGGAAAATTGTATTATCTTTTATCAATAGGTTGGTTTGGTTTATTTCTCTATTCACTTTCCTGGCGTCTTGGTGGATTGTTTTCTTTTTGATCATGTGCCTTTTATTTGGAAACGTTGTTTATATTCCTATCATTAACCTATTCTACCTTGAAGTATAATTCATCACAATTCATTACCTCTTACATGGCGGTGACTAGTTTCTATGTTAGAAACTCATTTAAGTGTCCAAATTTCAGCTCATTCTGAACGCTCATACAAATATCTCATAATTTAGATTAACCACCATTATAATATCTTCATTGAAACAAGCAAGGTAATATTTGAGGGCTTCAAAGTGACCATAATGAATCTTGAACATGTTTGTCATGATTTCCTTTTAGTGATTAATCCTCTAAAATTGATGATGTAACTTTCTAAAAAAAATGGGTTTACCATGTAATAAATTGTCATAATAATCAGGATGCTGACAAGGCTGCCATGTTGTCATGCAATTTCATGCATGAAAGATCAACACTTAGAGGTTGATGATTTTGTGCCCGATTGTTACAAAAAAGATTGCTATGAGGCTTGCTATGCACTAGTGATATATCTAGTTAATAGAAAATCTCTATAGAAAAAAAAAATAGATGTTGTTGATCTACAACCACCACCCATAAAAAGCAATCTGGTAGACCTAAGAAGAAAAAAAACAAGGAGGCTGAAGAATAAGTGAGACATGAGCCACAACTGAAAAGAGCAAAATTTGGTATCAAATACAATTGGTGACTTAAGGATGGTCACAACAAGGCCACATGCAAATTGCATCCTCCAATGACTAAGCCAACACAAGGTGACTCTGCATCTATTAGTCAGTCAGTATTATTTACACCTGTCAGTCAACCAACACCATCTGCACCTGCTAGTCATCCAAACTATTTGCACCTTCAACTTATGAAGCACCATCTGCAACTTCAACTCAATAAGCACACAAAAAGAGACTTCAAAATTGATTAAAACACGTTCTGAGCCAACCCTAATAGTTCTATTTTGTTGTTTTGATATGTACTCATTGATGTAATGACTTATAATGCCACTTTGTAGCTTATGACTTATAATGTCACTTTTGTGTATCATATGGCTTATAATGCCACTTTTATAGCTTACGACTTATAATTGCACTTTGTGTAGCTTATGACTTATAATGCCACTTTTGTGTATATGACACTTTGTGTATCATATGGCTTATAATGCCATTTTGAATTAAATTATATAATTTTGTTGATGACTATTGGAATGATATGGTTATGTTACGCAATTCTAAATTATATGCATTTTTGTTCTGATGTGTTACACAATTACAAATTGCTTATCATAAACCAAGAAAAGTACATTTATAAACTCATGGCACACAAAATACATTAACTCGTGACCGTTTTGATTGCACTCATAACATCATGACAAATACAATACACTCATAAACTCATAACAGAAAAGTACATTTATAAACTCATGGCACACAAAATATATAAAGTCATGACAATGTTAGTTACACTCATTAACTCATGATATATACAATACACTCATAAATTCGTGACAGATAAAATTCCAAGCTAAAAATACATTGTTGCAAAAACAACATTCATCACTAAGCTAAAAATTCTAACCACAATGGACATTTTCAACCATCCTCTAGTGTGGAAAACTTCATTCCTTCAATTTGTAAATTTTCCTCTTTTGGCTTTCAATATTCAAATCTCTTTCATCAACAATTTTATCATCTAACCACTTGAAAAAATTACACCCCTTTTTCATATGATTTCTTTAATTTCTGCAACTCCAAAAAATTTCCCAAAGTTCACACTGTTCATGTCACTCACAGTACGAAGGACACATTCATCTTGGTAAAAACACTCTCTCCTCTTGTTTCTACGAATAATAGATCAATTGTTCTAATGGAATGATTGTTTGACAATGAAGCATTCCTTAACAACTTTGACATTTGAGAAGATGAAAACCCTAGAAAAGCAGCTTTAAAATTCCTAAAAGTGGAATGAAACTTGAAACGCAACTTGATTAAAACACATATGCAAATGCAAGAAACAAAAAGCCCAGAAAAAAAAATGAATGGAAGAAGAAGCAACTTGAATAAAAGAGACAACAACAACGACTACTGAAAACGCAAGTTGAATACAATGAAATCCTTAAATGCGTTTTTAAATCCTTTTGTTGAGTCATTCTTTTACCAATTTCCTAATTGTCACACCACATTGACAACCTTAAACGTTTTTTTTTTAAAAAAATTAACAGAAAAGACCAATAATACTAACGTACTAGTTTTAAGGAGCAAAGTGTAATATTTTTAGTTAAGGGACTAAATCAGAACTTTAAATTAAATTAAGGGAGTTCATGACTAATTATATCTTTATTTATCGATAAAAACCATTAATTTTATTTATTTTAATTATTAATTTATATAATTCATAAATTTTAATTGATCAATTTGGAGTGACTATTAAAAAACTTTTTGTATTAAATTTTTTTTCCTTATCTTCCATTGCCTCCAATACTCTTCCAAATACACATGTTTATTAATTATCCTCCATAAATTGCCCGTTTGACTATGACAATTAAAACTAGAAAATATGAAAAAATGATAATACTGTCAAAAGTTCTATAATTTAGTCTACTTTATCTATCACGCCATAATAGATAATGTAACTTCCCTTTGTTATCAATTGATCTTTAAATCTCACATTTTACTTATGGTGTGCACAATAAATAATAATTTGTCAGCAATGAGATACAGAAGAGCATTTTTGTGTTCTAATATGTAAATGAGCAAATGAATTTACACACTTGTCTAATTAGGGTATTTATAAGTTCGATTACTTAATTCAAAGATTGTTTAGAGTATAGACTACAATTCCATTCACGTGTCCCATGACTTTATTCTAAAAACATATTATTTTTTCATATCCCGAAATTTTTTGCTAATGCATCGAGAACTAAACAAGTCTTATTCTTTTTCATATGAATCTTCATAATGGCGGTCAAAAAAGTCATTTTTCATATGAATCTTCATAATGGCGGTCAAATTATTTATAGTAATTTCATCTTCTAACGAGTCATTTTCATCAAATTTTTCATATGAAACTTAGCTTTTTAATACATTTTTTATCCTGTCGAAATTCATGCATTAAACACGTTCATTTTTTTATTTGAACTTTCAAATATAGAGGATGGGTTGATCATACAATGCCTAGCTATTTTTGAAAACAGGATATAGATTGACCAGGTCTATAGAATTTGCAAACTACATATTTTTAGTTTTGGAAGCATTGAACTCAAATTGTGAATGAAAAGCTTATCAAGTAAATTGACATGTCAAAAATTGACTCGTTCGGCTAATGACACGATTATTGTATTAATCAAACACTGATTTTATGCATAACATAGCTTGTGTAACACTAATAAGGGGTTAAGTAACTAGTGGATGCCTATCTATGAGATCAGGAAGAGGAGTTGGCACGGCTTGTTTTTCCTATAAATTGAACCAATCCCAACTGATGTATAAACAAAATTAATTTACAAACACATTATGACTACTTGAATGAATTGAAGAAGCTGACTGTGTCGTGGAGGGCGTGGATAAAGTTGTCAACATCCTCCTTAGTGTTGTAGAAATAGAGACTAGCACGTGCACTTGCGCTGACTCCTAAATATCTATGGAGGGGTTGGGCACAATGGTGACCTGATCTGATAGCCACTCCATGCTGTAAATGATACATCAATTACAGTTCAAGAAAGAAAAATTTCCAAACATGTTCATCAGTTATATTAATTAATTACTACCGAAAATTCGGACATTTAAGTAATTGATTGTACAGACTAATGAGGCTTTTATATAAAACTTACTTCACCTATGATACACTTAAAGAAAATAGCTTTTGGCACGTTCATGAGTTGTTACCAACTTATTTCAATATAATAGCTTATGAATAAGTACTTAATCATCTCCCTAGAACAATTTATTGGACAAGTACTTGACTAAATTGTTCATCCAAAGGCACCATAGAATGTGTTAAGACCAAGAAAATGCATACAGCTGGAGAAAGTATTTCATTTTCTTACCTGTTGGTCTAGAAATGTTGCAAGATCAGTAGGGTGCAAATTCTCAATATTGAAAGAACAAAGAGAAGCTCTTTTGACTTCTTTTGAAGGGGCTGGCCCATAGATGCGAATATTTGGGACTGAAAGAAGCCTTTCATACAGGTAGTTACCCAGTTCCACCTGTGAAAATTTTTAGACCAATAGTATCTATCACACTGCTCATAAAATATAAATACAATTTATCGCTAGTATTGAAAGATATGAAAACAGATGTTGTTGATGATTGATTGAAATCAGTAATTTAGCTTGTGATTTTAGAATTGCCTTTGCTTCGAATATGACACTGCTGAGGTTGAGGTTTCGAATCGTGAAAACTATGATGATAAAGAGAAGATGTGCGTGAAGAAGTAAGACAAACATGATGATAGAAAAAAGAAATCAAGAGTTAGACTTGGGACACATTTGGCTTTTGGTTTTGTAACCTATACTGTTACTTTCATGTGCTGACCAAGTTAAACATTGCCAGTGCATTAAACACTGAGTAGCATTTATCAAGCTTATTTCCAAGTTATTTTGGTAATTAAATAAACACTATGTGCTACTGAGATGTACGCTAAGCTATAAATGTATTTATGATTGACTTTAGTTCTTAATTTTGATTAGAATGTTTCTATGATACATGAATTTCACAGAATGTTTGCTTCTTACAGTCCTTCGTGATTTTAAGTGAATCTTCAATTTTGATTTTTAGCTAACAGCTAAACCTGAATACAAGAATAGACCACGAGTTGTTTGGCTCTCTCGTATGTTCGGGAAGTGATTGAACTGCATAAAGATGCAATCACTACATTAAGTGCAGGGTTTTATTGCTATTAGATGGTTAAGCATACTAGCATCCCAAATATTCAGACAAATGATATGCATGAAGGAGAAAATGCAACATGGTCTACAGAAGGTTGGCATTTGAGGAGAAAGGAAGTTAATCATAATGAGGTGTTGTGTAATTTGTGTTATTACAGTAGATCATAAGATAGACTGAAGCCCAAATTACCTCATAATCGTGTATGGCTTGCATTCCAATCCCAGATAAGTAATCAATTGCTGCTCCTAATCCAATTGCTTCACCAATAGCTGGTGTTCCAGCCTCGAATCTAGAATGGTAAAAAAGCCCCGGACATTAAGATACAAGAAACCGATGGTAAATGTGACAGTAGCAGCCAAAAATTAGCACTATGAGGCAAAGAAAAATGCTTATATGGTATGAATGGTTATATATAAATTTAGGGGAGTATCAGTCCCAAGATAAGGAATGGAAACTCTTCCTTTTTCTCGACAGATATTGATAACGATCATTTAAATGGTAGACCTAGTCATTTTTTGAGATCTCTAGCCAAGCCAGCGTCTATCATATTTTTAAGATAAGGTAAGCTCAAGTCAAAGAGAAAAAACAAGTTCACAAACCTTGATGGAGGTTCGGCATAAGTTGAATGATCAAAATATACATCTGCAATCATTTCACCACCACCTAAAACCAGCAAAAGAAGATATTCATATGAATGTTTAGCTTCAAAACACAATTTTAGTAACATGGTGCCTAAACAAACAGAAACTTTTCTTTTATTCTACCGCATGTAATTAATTGTTCATGTATGATAGGAAAATGTTATTAAAGCACCGTGTATAATACTTACCTAAAAATGGAGGCATGGAAGACAAGAGGTCTATTTTACCATATAAGAATCCAATGCCTGTAGGCCCGCACATCTGTAAGATGTGCTCAACAACTTGTTACACTGGTCTGGAAGAGTTACAATTCAAAAATACATAAACAACTCTACCTTATGAGATGAAGCTACAAGAAAATCAACATCAAGGTTCTGAACATCAACAGTCATGTGTGGAACACTCTGGCAGGCATCTACAAGAATTTTAGCTCCAACATCGTGTGCCCAATGTGCAATATCTCTAATAGGAAGAACCGAAGCTACAGAAAAGCAGAGTACAAACAACGTTTAAACCCGTCCATTTCAGTTACAAAAATTAAAAGCGAGTAAAAGAACTAACGTTGTTGAAAATAAAAGGTTAGATTGAAAAAGCATGGAAACATTTGGAGGGCATTTGTGAGCATTCATACACGCTATATACATAACTAAAAGTATTGTTCACCAAAGTGTAGTATCCTGGCGAGAAACGTACCAAGCACATTTGACACATGATGAACAACAACTATTTTGGTCTTCCTTGAAAGCATTTCCTTCAATTTGTCTATATCTGGAACTTCATCTTCGTTTAAATTCACAAATTTTAAAACAGCCCCAACTTTTTGAGCAACCAATTGCCATGGAACAATTGCACTGTGATGTTCGGCAACTGTAAGTATGATCTAGATTGCAATAATATACAAAAGTTAAGATTTTACATGAGCATAATTAGGAGATAATGGTATTGCAAAGAAAAAATTATGCTGAACGTAAAGAAATAAAACTGAGTGATTGAAAAGAACCCCAGTATCTCTTCCCAATGTCAAAACTCCTATTTCAAAATCACATTTGATAATTTTAATTAAGCCTGGAGCTCTATCAGAAAGCCGTCAAAACAGTATGATAACTTTTTTTCCTACAAAGTACACTAACCCAAACATGCACTAAGTTGAAATTCATAAAAAAAATATTTAGAATGAAAATACCTCATCTCCTGGTTTTAAATTTGACAAGCCCCAAGAATAAGCTACTAGATTGATAGCTTCCGTAGCATTCCTTGTGAACACAATTTCTCGAGAATCGGAGACATTAATAAAAGCTGCAACCTTCTTTCTAGCAGATTCGTACTCGTCTGTGGCCTTGGCACTACATCCATAGCAAGAAAGCATTTGGCTCTTTAAGTAATCATAGATAGAAATCTATATATTTTCATCCCCCGTTAAATGCAGAGGAGATGAAGGAAATTACATTAAATTGTCTCCAAACTACATGTGTAATTCCAAATGTAACATAATAAGTACCTCAAGAAATGTATGCCCCGATGCACGTTCGAATTGTAACCTTCATAATAGTTTTGCAATGCCTTTATAACAGCTGTAGGCTTCTGAGAAGTTGCTGCATTGTCTATGTAAACAAGTTTTGAGCCATTTACTTCCTGTGGATTGAGTTAAGTTTCATAACTTTATAATATACACAAAATCTACACACTGAACACCTCTAGTCCATAAAGAAAAACAATAAATAGACATCTTTAACCGTACCAATGTATAGAAAATATAGGAACAATAAAAGCACGTCTTTATAAATTAAAGCTGGTTTTCGGCAACATTATAGGTAAACTAACTAGAAACGAGGCAATGAAACCAAGGATTGGTTATAAATTGCACTATGGCCCTGTTTGAATAAACAGCTTACTTAAGCACTTACAGAGCTTATCACAAGGGAGCTTAAGTTGGATAAGTTATTTGTGTTTGGATGTGTACACTGAAAAGTGCTTACACAAACACAAGTGTTTGAATATGTAATTACAAAAACACTTATTAAATGTCATAACTTATTTACTATGGTACACACAAGTGTTTGAAGTGTAATTGATCAGTGAAGTCTCCTTTGCACTGATCAATTAACAATGACGAAAATCACCATTACCACCAAAACAAAAAGTACGATGCAACTATAATAAAGTGCATGTCAGCCACAATCAATAACCTCAGAAAATCTCATCAGAACTTTAAACAAAGCATAAACATAACCTTAAAATTCTCATCAGCATTCACTTTATTCTCAGGAAAATTCAGATTTCCAATTTTCAATACCACCCTTTCACATAAATGTTCTAATTCTCATCCAAATGAAACTGATATAATATCTGTTTACCCTTACAACTTGAGATCCAAAACCCTCCATTCTTAGCCTAACCACATCCTCATCGCCAAGATCAAGCAAAAATCACACAAAAAAATCAGGAACAGGCAAAAATTACAATATGGAACAAACAAATCAAACACGAGATACAATGAACGTGGATGGACACCTGAGTTCAAGAGTGAGGAGGGAGAAGTCAGGAGTTTCAGGGCGACGACGAGAGTTACATTGCAGAGAAAAAAATAGAACGGTGAGGGGTGGCTTAGATCGTATACGAGAGTTTCAAGGGTTCAACATGTTTTATGTTTGGTTCAGCTAGGATGCATGAGTTGCAAGATGTCCGTGTGTTTCGTGTTTAGTGTCATAATCTTTTGGGAATTCATAAGCTTGTTAGTGGAGCTTATAAAAAAACAACTTATGGTAGCTCATAAGCTCTTGTGATATTTTCTCCCAAACAGTTCCACAAACACTTACGCCTATTTATAAGCCCTAAATAATCCAATTCAAACAGCCCCTATGTAAGCTAATTCTTAAGCTTTTAGCTTGATTCAATTTGACACGTAAAAATGATCCAGTCATATGATATGCATAAGCATCGGAAAAACCTCAGAAACTAACCTATGTAACTCATAAGCATAATATAAGAGAAGAAAAATGCACCTGATGAAGAATAGGGAAATGAGGTCTTGTAGAGTGACCCAAAGAGGGAGAGCCAGTAGCCGGTTCAGCTACTGTTTGATTAACGGTTGATGCACGAACAGGGAGAGAAGATAAACGTCGGAACCCAACGCTAACACACGATGAGGTCCTAGTAGTGATTGAACTTGGAAATTTGAAAGATGGAAGTTTTGGTATCAAAACTTCCATTCTTAACAACCGAATAGGAGAATGAATTCCAATATCTCGGTTATATCTATGAAAAAAGTAGAATAGTTTTTGCAGCAAAAAATAATGATAATCAGAATTTACCAAATTCACAAACAATAATAAATCAGTACAAGGTGAAAAAATGAAAAGGGGGCGTACTTGGAGCGGAAGCTCTTGTGTAGAAAGGGGGAAGACAACGGAGTAACAGTTGATAGTGGTGGATATTAAAAAAGTTTGCCCAGTATTTTTTTAATAAAGGGAAATGTCCCGGTTAAGAATTTAAAAATTATTTTTTTTAAACAATAAAAATGATGCATTTGACCTAAAGTAAATATATATGTTAAATTTTACTATTAGAGACTTATATGTTTGGTTGCGAGAAGGAGGGAAAAAAAAGTATAATTGATTAGTATATGGAAAAAGTAAAGATTTATTACAATTACAATTAATTATTATAATTTAATTAATTAAACTAACCCACCGAAAAAACAAAACTCATAATAACACCCCACTAGGTTACCCACAATAGTTAACGGGCCTGGCCCAATGACCAAGTTATGATTCCTCTCCAACAAACCCCTACGCCACTCTAGTAGGATTCATCTTCAACCTCTGCTGCTGCAACTTCCACACCCTGTTCTACGACCATGGCGACGCCGTCACACGCTCGAGCTGTCAAGTCTCTCAACGAATCCCCTGGCGGCGGTCGTTTTATCGTAAGCCTTCACCTCCGTCTCTTCCGCTACTTCACAACATCAAACAAATATTGTTTTTAGCATTTTTCCCCATTTCGTTGCCAGAATTGCTAAAACCCTAAACCCTGCGTTTTTGAACAACTTTTTTTTTTAATTTTTTTTTAAATTGATCTGTATCATGTTCTTTAGCTGTTAAATTTTGCTTTTAACATGATTAAGTATAGCTATCAGTTATTGTTTTAGTTGAAAGTTTGTTCTCACACACACTTTTTTTTTTTTTAATTTATTGTATGTACAGTTTCAGTCAGTCTCTCAGCAAATAGATAATATCGACATCAGTGGTGTGTATATAAGTCTTGAACAGATCAAAGCTGAGCCGAAGGAAGGTTCTTTTTTCAGAGACTGCCTAATGGAATGGAGGGTATGTATGCCTTCATTTACAATTCCTCTATTTCTTGCTCCGAAATATTTATGGTTTTTATATGCGTGCTATTGGTGTATATTTTTAAAGTGGAGCAACTGTATTGCTATTTTGATAACCAACTTGTTTTAGCAATGGACAACATAACATGACTACTTTTGTGATAAGGGATTGCATACTAGACCAAATTGATTTTTGTGTGATAGAATTGTGTACCAGATTATTAATATTTGCTTGGTCTACATTACACTTCAATTACTCATTTTCATTAATTGTTCAAATTCAGGAATTGAATACTACGGAGGATTTTATCTCATTGTATGAAGAAGTTTTGACTTGTACACAAACACATTACCTGGTGCTGTTGCAGAAGGAATTATTAATCTCAAAGCTACTTTCTAGGTTGCACATGAAAGCAAGGCTATCCCTTGAACCGCTTCTCATGTATGCAAGTCATTTTGACTATTTCTCCTTGGCAGTTACCGTGCATTACTGAATTTTCTGTTGGGTACATTAATACTTTGGTTATTTATATGTTGATAGACTGGCTTGGAGTTCTTCGAGTGATTGAACTCAGTTGTGAAAGTCTATTGAATTTTATCTTAGTCTCAATATTGCCATGCTTCTAGATACTATATTAAATATTTATTATTTTTACGCTCTGTTATAATCTGTTTCCAACACATTATCAAGAAAGGAAGAGTGGCATGCAAATGATCCATTTTCTATATTTTTTTATTGCAACAAAAATGTATATAGTTTTATCAATTTCAACCGGATAGGCATATCGCAGGAAGGCAATAACCAATAAGTAACCAGTCCTGCCAGTCGATAGGTTCGAAATTCAAAAGCTGTCATTCCTGTCTCTTAATATTAGGTATCAATTGAGACTGAATCAAATAAGACATGCAAAGTCAATATCATTAGTTACCAAACTGAACTAAGAGCACTTCTTTTTGGCGAGATCAATTAGTTTGCAATTGTTGTGAATTAATCTCAACACTTTGTTTTCAGGCTAATTGCAGCTTTATCTAGAGATCTTCTAGAGGAGTTTATTCCGTAAGTTGCTTATCACTTTCACTAGGTGTTGGCTATTTTGGAATTTCCTGTTATTTCATTTGCCAAATTTCTTAAGAAAAAAAAATAATGACTTCCTTACGGGGCATTTTTCCTAACATCTTTCATATTCACCGTGGAAATGGGTTTTGCCAGGCTATTTCCAAGAATTGTTGATTCTTTAGTATCTCTTCTAGAAAGTGGTGCTGATAGGGAGCCAGATATAATTAATCAGGTATAGTCTATCAATTTGGCAATTTTCTTAATTAAGATATTGTTCATTTCTCATTCGTTAGTTTCCTTTATTCAGTGTGAATTATGACGGTTCATTTTCGTGCAGATCTTCATGTCATGGTCCTATGTTATGATGTATCTGAAGAAATATCTAGAACAAAACCCATCAGAAGTCCTTAAGTGAGTGATATAGTCTATTTTATTTGAATTTTTGTTTTTACTTTCTTTACGGGAGTTTAACTCTCAAGTGAATAATTTCCTGCACCACTTTGTTAGCATCCAAGGATTGACTTGCATAGCTGTGGTTTGGACAAGGACTGAACACTTACACATTTATCTCATTTGTTGGGTGAATTAGCTGAGAGCTGTGTTTCCTTTCCCTGTTTAAACATGCATGCATAAACAAGTAGTTCTCTTTAGAAACTGCTGTAAATTATGCATAAATTAGATTTAGGTGAAGGCCTATAAATCACAATTTCTACCGAACAAAAGGGATAATTTAATGTAGGTTTTGTTACAAAAAAAGGGTAAAATCTTAATGTAGCCCAAAGAGACATGAGGAAATCATGGAATGGTCTTGATCTAAACCTATAGACAGATTTCCTTAAAATGGCAACTAAGTATAATAATTGAACGGGGAACAGAATTATACTGACATATTGGCCATAGTATTGCATTATGATGCTGGCCTAGGTTGACCAAGTAAATGTGAGGCACTAAGGGTGAAACTTGAAATATAGTTTAAACAAGTGTTGACAGAAGTGTAAATTCTCAGTTCTCGCCTATCATTAGTTTTTGCTGTAGATGATAGAAGATAAAAATAACAATTTGAAGGAAGGGGAATTGGAATAGGAAATGGATGTTTACACCAAGGGATGTTGAACCCCTTACTGGAAAATTGCTAACAAATGTTCCAACCAACTGATCTAGTATTATAGGATAATTGCTTGTTTTGCTTAATTTAGCCAACTACAAGTCTGATTCTTCTATGTTTCTTTGATTGATACTTGAAGGGCCACATCAAAATTGAGGTATTATCCAAAGGAATATGTTAAGCAATCCATGGCAGAGGCAATGTCATTTGTTTTGAGAAACGCCCCATATGAGCAGCTCAAAATAGGTATTGATGTCGTTGGTTATTTTTCGTTGTGTATATATTTCCTCTGCTGACTGTCTTGTCTTTGTTCACATGTTTAATCAATATCTCCATATTGTAATACATCTATTCAAACATGCTTCACGGTGTTCAATTAATTCTGTCCTTTTCTCTCTGATTTACTGGTTATATTAGTTTGGGTGGCTATAAAGCTTGTAATATTGTTTGATTGGACAGGAATTAGAAGTGTCATTGCCGAGGCAGTGAAGGAGCCGTCTCCATGCCGAGAGTCTGGTGTTGGATTATTGCTTTATAATATCATGAAAGGTTACTCATCAAGGCTCCATTCAAAAGCAGAGCGAGTGTTACAGTTATTGACAAGCGAAACAATTTATACCATTGCTGATGGAGCCGACCGAGGCAAGTTTGTTCTATAGTAAAAAATAACAACTCAACTTTTCTATTATTTCATAAGATTCTGATCATAGACTATGTTCATGTTGTATACAATTGAAGTGACTAAACTATTTGATATTAGTAACATACAAAGAACATGGGTGTTTGATTGATCTCCGTGAACATATTTTTGAGCATTTGAATTTCTCTTTGTCTTGGCTTAGTTATAAAAAAGTATTTAGATTTCTCCATTTGACTCTAAGATTGGACAATGGGATTCTTAAAATCTGCTGTGGAGACTGTCTTAGTGTTACAAGGTCCAAGGATGAAATTGAGTATGTTAATTTCATGTACAAAGAGATCACTTCATTTTAGAAGCCGTAGTAGAAAAAAATGGGATAATATCTTGAGCAGTTAGACATGGTTTATAATTTGATGCTATCATAAAGGAGATACTGAATTTGTTATGTAAAAACTTTATGAACAGGTGTGGGTAGATTTTATTGTTGCTTGATTTAGTGCTTCAAGACCTATAAACAAAAATAGTGCTATTCTAGGCCTAATTAACTTGTTAGGTAATAATGCTCGTGCAGTGATATGTGTTCAGGACTATTGTTATGTTATTATTTGATGATACACCATTTCCAAATAAAACAAACTAGACCTGAAAAGGAGTATGCAACAAAGTGTGAGAATAAATTGGAACCAAAAAGGATTACGCAGCAAAATTGATTAAAATCTGCAAAACCACCAATATTTTCGAATATGCAATAGAACAGAAGATATGATAAGGTTCCAAATATACATGAAATATAATAAAATAAAAGTTGCAAAACGATGCAGACTCGTGGAACAAAAAAAGTAGAGTTGAAGAGTAGAGAGTAGATAAGGAGAAAGTCAAGTATAGAGACAAAACAGGCAAGAGAGACAAGAGAAGATGATATGGTATGAGGACGAAGAACAAATAATAAGAGACAGAACAAATGCGTACCTCAACAGATGTCCACTAGTTTTTGCTAGCAGTACTAAAGGGCTTGAGTAATGTCAGAAAGTGCTAATTAGTGATGTGATTTTGGAGTTTTAGCACCACTTACTGTAAAAC